GCTCTCTCTGTCTCTCTGTCTCTCTGTCTCTCTGTCTCTCTGTCTCTCTGTCTCTCTCTCTCCCAGTGTAGTACCCTTTCTTTCTTTCTTTCTTTCTTTCTTTCTTTCTTTCTTTCTTTCTTTCTTTCTTTCTTTCTATCTTCCTTCCTTTCTTTCTTTCTATCCTGAGCTTTTAAGACCCTACCCAGGAAAGCCAGTGTTTGCACCAATGCCTTTAAGTGTTCCCTGTGCTCCAAGTTTCAAGTCTTACATTTAGTTCTTCCATCCATCTTGAATGGATGCTTATATGGGGTGAGAGATGGGGGTTGAGTTTCATCTTCCCTGTACGAACACCAAGTCTTCCCAGCACTAGTGGTTAGATGCTGCCCCTTCTCTGGCTTAAGCCATTGGTAGCACTTCTAAGAGCCAGTTGACCAAGGATTGACAACTCATTCCTAAGTTTGTGATGGTTATATTGATCTGTGTGTCTGCCTCTGTGCCCAGTACCATGCTGTTCTGGTCACGGTGGCTTTGTAGTTTGTCCTGAATCCAGATACCAGGGTGCTTACAGCTTTGTTCTTTTTGTTCAAGATTGCTGTGGTTATTCAGAGTCTTTTGTGCTTCTACATCAATTTTAGGATTTATAAACTAAAGCCCTGCAATAGAATTGTAGATGACCTTGACTGTGGACATTCTAACAATGTTAATTTTTCTCATCCTGAAACATGAGGTTTTGGTTTGCAATTTCTTTTTTCAGTATTTCAAGAAGTCTTTCCTTGGTTACATTTATTCTTAGTGTTTTATTTATTTATTTTGGTATTTGTTGCAAATGGAATTGATTCAATGATTTCTCTCTCAGTAAATTCATTATCAATATTTAGAAAAGTTATTGGCTTCTGTGTATTGATTTTAATCATTTTACTTTACCGAATTAGTAATCTTTTGGTGGAAGTTTTGATGAAAGTGGTTATATACATACCATGACTTCTGTCGATAGGGATAATTTGATGTCTTCTGTAACTGTATAGTTTTGATTTCAGCCCCTTGTCTAATTGCTCTGGCTAAATAGTCTAGTACTGTGTTGAATAAAAGTGTCATCACTAATCCCAGAAAAAATGATCTTTTCCTCTTTCTTACCATGTTGGCTATGGATTCATCATCTATATCGTCTTTGCTCTATTGAAGAACTTCTATAGCTCTTTCAGGACTTTCATCATAACATGTATGGGGACATGTATGAGCATATGTATACAAGTATGAATTCCATGTGTTTTCACCTAGAGGCCTCAGGTCCATGTCAGGTGCCATCCTCTCTCACTTTCCCCATATTTTTTCAGATAATCACTGTCAACTAAGAATTAGCTAAATAACACACAGAGATTAATATTAGGTGCAAATGCTGCTGGCCAATGACTAGGATTTGTTATCTGCTAGCTCAGTTTTAATTATCAACCATAACTGTTAAACTATATATTTTATAAATGTATATTATTGAGGATGTCAGCAGCAAGCATCCTGTATTCCTGGGCTCACATGGTGACTCTCCCTCTACTACATTTCCCAGAATCCTCCTCGACTCCTAGTCCTACATATCTTGTTTTCCTATTGGCCAACAGTGCTTTATTCATCAACCAATAAGATAAACAATAAGACCCTCCCCCATCAATCAACCTTTCACTGTTTCCCACTTCTGCCATAGCAAGCATGTACCAGTTACCATGGCCAACTTTTTTACTTGGCTACTGGGAAAACAAACTCAAGTCCTTATGCTTACACAGAACACAGTGAGCCACCTCCACAGCCTTTTGATGCTGGATTTATTGAGTGCTATTTGACATCTATTGAGAACACCGTAATCTTTATCTGTTGTTTTGATACATTGTTACACTTATTGATTTGCATGTGTTTAACCCTCCTTGCATGCCTGAAAAGACACCAACTTGACCATGACAAAAGACATTTTTATACACTGTTCAATTTGATTTGCAAACATTTTGCATACATATTGGTATGTAGTTTGTTGTTGTTGTATCCTTGTCTAGTAGTAGGGTGGTGCTGGCTTCAGAATGAATTTGGAAGAGTTTCTTTTATCTCAATTGTAGAGAATGGCCTGAGAAGAACTGGGATCAACTTCTTTAAAAGTTTGGTAAAATCCAGTAGTGAAAGCTGGTGCTGTGGCTCAGTTGACAGTGTTTACCTGAATGTTCATGACTTTGGGGGTCATTCCTAAGCACTGAAAAAACTCATAGGAATTCAGTTTTGAATCCATCCAGTCTCTCTTGCCTCTCTTTTCAAGATAGTTCATTAAGGGATTAGAGAGATGGCTGAGCCAGGTGGTGGTGATGCATGCCTTTAATCCCAGGACTTGGGAGGCAGAGGTAGGTGGATCTCTGTAAGGTTGAGACAAGCCTGGTCTACAGAGTGAGTTCTAGGACAGCCAGAGGCTATATAGTGAAACCCTGTCTTGAGAGAGAGAGAGAGAGAGAGAGAGAGAGAGAGAGAGAGAGAGCGCACTGCTTACTCTTGCAAGAGGACCCAGGTTCAATTCCTAGCACCCACATGGAAGCTCACAACCATCTGTGACCTGTCCCAGGGAATCCAAATAGCCTTTTCTGGTCTCCATGGACACTGCATCCACTTAGTGCAAAACCATACATTCAGGCATAACACCCATGCACATAAAATTAAATGGGGTTGTGGAGGGGAGATCAGTCCTTGTCACAACACCCTGAGGGTTCACTGGGAGATGATGATTTGAGACCCTGTACAGGTAGGTTACTTATCTAGTGGGTTATAAGCCTGAGGAGATTATGATACTTCCTAGTAGAACTTGCTGGAATTCTCTACATGCCTTCACAAGACAGACTCTAAGAGTTGTAGAGCCACAGTGGTGGGTGCTGGGTATTTCTGTTGCTATCTCAGCTGTCTGCACCTTACAAGGTTCCAGTCTCTCTCTTGCTGATCTCCAGGCCTTGCCCACAGTCAATGACCTCAAAATGTCCCCATACACCTGTTGCTTTGATTCTCTGTGCCCGAGCAGGTGAGAGCTAGGTGTTCCATTTGGCTACTTGTCCTCTTGTCATTTTACTTCAACAATCAACATGCTTTGTTTGTCCTCTGCTTTTATTTTAGATAGTCAGGCACCATCAGAAACAAGTCCTAACATTTAAGGAAAGAGCCTGCCATTGGAAATTGTCGAAACAACACACTGTCAGCTATGTTAACATCGCCCTTCTTTCCAAGGATCATTTTCAAAATGGCAAAATCATAATACTTACCTTAATATGACATATATACACAACAGAGGTTGCCTCTAGCTCATGTGTTAATAAAGGGGGGTATAAGGCATTTACATTTGTCCCAAAGAACAGGTATATTTATACATAGATGGTCATAAAGGCAGAACTGCACTTGCTATTACGTGCACAGCTGGATAATAGTTATAATGAACGAAAATATAGTGAAATATAGTGAAAATTTATCAGAATAAGTGTTTGTACAGAGGGGACATTGATTAAACTGTACCCCACCAAACAAAATGAATTTCCATTTCTAAAATGAGAATCATTTACTGTACCACTAGTTTCTGTAAAAATAATTACAAAATGGCCAAAGATAATAAGAAAGACAGGCCCCTATAGAGTCATACCCCTTCACTGAAAGATATCCAAGGTGCTACTCAGCATTCTGCTGACAGGATGATCCTGGGTTTGTTCCATTTTAACATCTTCCACTGTCTTTCCCAATGCTACCATTTTTAATAGAAACAATATCCACTAACTAGAAGCCAAACTATGAGTTGCTAAGAAAAATGCAAATAACTCAGTTAATTAATACCTTTGCTTTATTTTAGATATATGTGCATGGGGCTGGAGAGATGGCTCAGCAGATCAAAGGGCTTGCTGTTCTTCCAGAGGATCCAAATGTAGGTCCTAGCATCCACATCGGAGGGCTCACAACAGCCTGAAATTCCATCTCCAGGGGATCTGACCCCTCTTCTAACCTCTCCAGCAAGGCCCTCAATAGGTGCATGTGCGCCCCCTCCCAACACAAATTAAAAAAAATCTTAAAAATCTTCCAGTTCTGAGCACAAAACTGGCTACTCCGAGTGCACGTGACTGGATTGTCTTCGCACATGCTGGCATTGCTTGTACTGAACCAGGCAGCCCCGAGTGGAGCTTCTCAGCTAAGAACGGCCTTTGTAAACAGACAATGTGACCACTTGATTCTGGAGTGCCACGGGAAGGCCCAAATGCTTGCTTAGAAATTCCAGTGGTGACTGTCGTGGACATGTTCTAAACCATAAAATGACAAATGATTGTGTGGCTTTAATACTGCTTCGGAGTCCAAGAAAAATGCAATGGCAGCCACTGAGCTGTGCTCTAGAATCTCCCTCAGCCTGGTGGAGAGAGAAAAGATGAAGAAATCAAGCTGGAAGCATAGTCTGCCTTGACGCTGCCCTTCCAGGAAATGCTGCTGTGCGATGGTGAAGGCCCCTACCTTCCTGTCTCCTTTCCTTTGTCTACTCATCCCTTCTCTCCAAGTCTCCCACCTGCCATTGTCTGCTTCCCCCTTCTCTCCTTGTGTCTCCGGGACCCATGCTTCCCCTCACCCTTACTAACTTTAATCGCTGTTCTTCTGAGCACATCTAAACGTTTTAAAGACTTATATTGACTTTCATTTATGTACATGTGAGCCCCATGCGTGCCAGTACAGAAGGAGACCAAAAGAGCGTGGAACTAGTTACAAGTGGTTGGGAGCCACCCCATGTGGCTGCTATGAACCAAACTTGGGCATTCGGGGAGAGCAGTGAGTGTTCTTAATCTCTCTGGCTCTATAACCTTTGCTTTTAAAAAGCTAAGTTGAGAGAAAAGATATGCAAAGCCCCCTTGGCAGTCCTTAAAGCTTGAATCCCATTTTTAAGCATCTTTCCCTTTCCTCAGACATGGAAAAAAAAATGGCTAAGCTTGTGTTTCGAGAAATGCTGACACTTCCTTTTTCTTTGCATGAAAATTGGGATGAACCCAAGACAATTCCTTTTGGAATAAAATTTCCGCTTCTCCCCAAGCCAGATCAAATGTGTTCACCTTGCCAGTTGTATTGGATTGAGGGTAGAAAGTGAGACACATGAATGTCCCTTCACTGAGAGGCAGGGCTAAATCAAACATTTTATTTAATTATTTATCTTTCGCCTACATGTATGCTTGTGCATCTTGTGCATGCCTGGTCTGCACAGAGGCCAGAGGAGGGTGTCAAATTCCTTGGCACTTGTTGTTACAAGCCATTGTGAGCCAACATGTGGGTGGTGGGAATTGAACCCGTGTCCTCTGGAAGAGCAGCCAGTACTCTTAATGACTTAGCCATCTCTCCAGCCCCAGCATGTCTAACTCTTAAAGATTCATTTTTTGAATAGTGGCCATCATCTACTCACAGCCTGCAAGGACATAACAAACTATGGCATTTTAGTAAACATGAAATGCTGATAGTGTTTCCCGGGAAGACACTGCACTCCATCTGCCAGAGTTTAAACTGTAAAACCTTAACCTCGATATGTGCTTTCTTTCTCTTCCTCCTTAAGATCCTATGTGATGGTAATTCATACACATTCTTCCCAGGCACTCTCGACTTACAGATATCAAATATTTCTGAGTCATGTATCCCGGAGATATGGTCTATACCTCAGAGAGTGACAGAGATGGGGGGTCGGAAGACGGGTTTCCTGGCTTTGAGTGTTGTGAGGGAAGTAAACATAGTTGCTGGGTTATTAGAGAATGTGTTTGGGGGGCTGTGAGAGTCAAAGGACACTGAAGCAAAGACTCTGCCTTCTGTGTAGAATAATTCCCAGAAGTGAAGAGAGGTAGGAAAGGAGGCGATGAGAAGAAGAATTACACAGGGCACACAGAAGGGAAACTTGAGGTAAATCAGGATATGTTGTTCTATGTCATGGTGAAGTGTTTGGCTTTTCTTCTTAAGGCGGTACAAGATTCTAATCATGGGAAACAGATGATGGAGACTGTTTTTAGGGCAGTTTCCCAGGTAACTGGTGTTGGCAAGGAGTCAACTGGTGTGATTTTAATTGACACTTTGTAGTCTGTTACCTGTTGTGCGACATTTATACACTGTATGAAGATGTGTCACTGTGATTGGTTTAATAAAGAGCCATTTTAAATGGCCAATAACTAGGCAGGAAGAGGTTAGGCAGGACTTCCAGGAACAGAAAGGACTCTGGGAAAAAAGAAAGGTACGTTGCCAGCCAGAGAAAACAGGAGGTGCAAGATAGGAGAGGTGGTAGAATGTAGACTAATATAAATAGGCTTTAATATTTAAGTTGTAAGAGCTAGTTAGGAACAAGCCTAAGCTACAGACAGAGCGTTCATAATTAATAAAGATTATCTATGTCATTATTTATGAGCCCAAAGGAAAAAAAAAAAACCTGACTACATGTATCTCTTCACACGCCCAGCATTTCCTTCCATGGACAGGCTTCTAATATACTTCACCCCACAAAGCAAAATAGGAGAGTCTAAGCCTCCTGAAGTCAACTCATTTAGAAGTCCGAGCATCTTCCTATACCTGGGACCAGCTTGGTGGATTACTCTGCAGTTATACTGAGCCCTGTGCTCACAGAGGCCTCCCTCCTGTCCTTGGCTGAATGCTCTATTGCCACCATGTTGGATTTTTACACTTTGGAATGAGTGCCTTTCTTTTTCAGCTTACAAAGAACTTCACACTTGATTAAGAGAGGGCCCTGCTTGCCGCAATCTATGGAGCGTAGAACGCCCTTCAAGCCCTGGCACAAGAATGGCTTGAGAATTATTAGGATTTTTTTTCTCCCCAGATTAATAAAAACTGTCACGAGCCTTTCCATAAACAGAGCAGTGCTAGCTTCTCCTGAGGGCAGGGAGACCCTCTTCCTGAGCCTGTGTTGACATGCTTCTCACTGGCTGCTCTGCCACACGACATCTGGACCATGGCCAGGAGCTGCATGGAAGAGGAGGAAGGCATCCTTGACTTTTGCAAAGTTAAACACTTGGAGAAACTTCAGCTAGAAAGGACTTGGTTAAAGATAAAGGAAGCTGGCCTATGAGCTCCCTGCCTGCTGCCCGCTTCTCCTGATTTTCATGGTTCTTAGCATGTTTATTCTCTCCTCTCTCAGTGGCCAAAAGGACAAGTTTAAATTTCTGATTTCCTCTGGGGAGCCTGAGAGAGGCAAGAGGCACCAAATACAGGAAATCATGTGGAGAGAATTTCTCATTTATTACAGTCCCCAGATTACTTCCCTTCCCCAGCCTCCGCCCCCACCTCCAGCCACACGGTGCCTCCCAGTTTCTTCCTGCCCTGAGGAACAGCCAGCCACAGTTCACCTCTGCCCTGAGGTCTGGAAGCCTATGTGAGCCTGGGAGCATCCAAGTCTGATCTGGAGAAACTCTACCCTCCTCTGGTTGCCTGAAGGAATGGGACGCTCTTAAGTTTCCCCACACCTCAGAGGTCTTGGGGCAGATCTTCCATCTAGGAGTAAATGTGAAGAGGCTGCCCACTGCTGAAGAGAAAGGTAGGAGCCTGTGTGGCTGTTTCTTTTTGTCTCCTTGGATGTGAGAAGCTAGCTAGCTTCTCTAAAGCAAAGGCTCCCAGCACTCTGCCATGTCTGCCTGTGCTCGACCTGTGTGCCTCCTGGAGATCTGCTGGGTTACAAGATTGTGTGGGCAAATAGTGGCAGGCAGAGGGTATTCTGGTTGGTTGTTTTGAGTTCATGTGTCTTTGGCTAGAGCATAGTGACCAGCGTAGTACATGAAACACAAAGCCTGACTCTTGTTTTCTTTGGAGGAACATCTCATTAGGGGTTGTATGTTTTGGCTTCTGTGTGATGAAGGGGGAAATGTTGTACTCTGATTTGCCTTTTCCCTGCTGTGCAGACCTTTACCACCATTGTTTTGATTAGTTTTCAATTTAGAAATATACCAAGGTGGATGGTGAAGATGCTAGCAACAGCACGGTTGTTTCTTGTTTACAAAACCATGCTTTTTATTTTTTAAATAGACATACTGTTCAGGGATTTGGTGGACATCTGTGTTTTCTTTCCAGAACTTTCTTGCTCTTCCTGAGAGTTCCTAAAATAGGTATCCAGTGATAGCTACAAAGCCTGGCTTTACCTGTTTGGCGTGGAAATTCTTTTGCTGGTTCTTTACCTGGCCACCTTGGCTAGATGTTAGTGGGGTTCAAGATGATGCAGCTGAGACCCGGAGAAAGGCGAGGCAGATTCAGTTCCTGGAGTTCTGAATCGCGTGTTGAGAGCTTATGCTGTATAGCTCCATGCCCCCCTCATAACCAGCCTTTCCTGGAGGAGAGGTACTTGCTCTGACTTCAAAGACTATCAGCCAAGGAGCTGAACTCTTCCCTCTAGCTTCCTTGGTTTAGATGCTATTTATTTATTTATTTATTTATTTATTTATTTATTTATTTGCAGCTGTGTACTTAGCTTTGGTATTGCCTTTTTCCATCCACCCTCCATATCTTGCTACAGAGTTCTTGGCAAAATGTAATTGTGATTTTGTCATTCCCCACCTGGGCTGTGTCTTCAAATCCACATCCCTCAGCCTACAGCTCTGCTACTTACGGGGCACCAGGGACCATTTGTATTGGGCATCACTTAGGGGCTCCTTAGAAATGCAAACCCCCATCTCCATGTTCCTGGGTGGGAAACACATATAATAAATCTTGCCAGGTCCTGCCTGTAGGGAGAGCAGATGACTCTTTCAAGGCCTGCTCCATAACTAACCCTGCTAGCCTCACCTCCCACCACCTGACTCCTCGGCTGTGCCTGGGCCACTTCCCTCATCATGAGATCACCCTGCTGCCCATCAATGTCTGGGTGTGCTTCTGTCTCTGCTTGGATACCTCCGCTCAGCTTCTCCCCAATTACCCATTATAGCCTTATTTTCCTCTCATTCAGCCTCACATTCAGTCCACCCCCCCCCCACTAAGCACCCTGGGGCTTCGGGTTTTATGGCATACAGAGTACAGTTGCTATGGGTTTTCTCATCCTTGACTAGACTCCGGTGTTTTGTTTCTGAATCCATGGCACACACGGCAACGTCTGTTGTATCATGCATATCAGTCATCATTATCTGACTTCCTGAATGAATGAATGAATGAATGAATGAATGAATGAATGAGGGAACAAATGAATGTGTGTGCTAGCTGAACAATTTAAATGAATGATCAGAATGAGATGTATAGTAAGAAATTTTCCAGGAAGACTGCCAAAGTCTATAACATCTTCCGTGCTCCTTTGCTGAGAATTTGCTGGATTCGGTGACTCGCCGAGTATTTTGAGGATCTACCATGTGCTGGGTGGTTGTTTTTGTTTGTTTTATGTTTTGTTTGGTTTGAAGTCTCTGCGTGCCTCTGGATAGCTAACCTCTCTGGTTAGGTACTTCCTAACCCTGCTCTCCATTCTTTTCCCACACTAAGTCAGGGATTTACTTTCTCAGCCATGCGTCTGGAACACCCTCCGCCTGTCAGGCAGCTGGTAGTGCAGTAGGAACATGATGACAAATGAACCCATGTGAACCTGAGCAGAGGACCTTTCAGCATCCTCCCTCCTACTCTTTGCCCCCGCCTGCAAAGAAAAGAAAGAAAGAAAAGAGAATGAGAAAACAAAGAGATCTGGTGGCTAACAAATGTTAACACGTGCAACTAAGGTCATCGGGAGGTTTAGGACAATGACGTCACTCAGAAAGACTCCCAGCGTTTTGTGGAGTCTCTGGCTGAAACACCTGTTCCTGTGCCTGTCTTGCCAGGTGACTTTGGATCTACACCCCTTCTCTAAGCTGTGGTTTTGTGCAGTGTTGAACAGGGCTGTGTTGGTGTCACTAGGTGGACAGAGGTCACTCTGTGTACAGAGGTCAGGGTGCCTCTGCTCTCACACGGGCTCAGGATAAGAGTTCTGAGAGAGGTTCTTATGTGTCCCAGGCTGGTCTTGAACTATGTAGCCAGACAAGTCCTTGAACTTCTGATGTCCCTGCTTCTACCTTCAAGTGTTGGGCTTCCATGTCTGCTTTTGTCATGCCCAGTTTACGCTGTACCAGAGATGGAACCCAGATTTCCTACATGCTAAGCAAGCTCACTACCATCTGAGCTACACCCCC